TCAGATCTGAGTAATGTCGCGTCCTCAAAGATATAACCACGACAATTATAAAGACACACTAGTGTACACTTATTAGCGTCATTTTAAAAAATCGAGAAGAAATGATCCAAATCATAATTGCAAACACTTTACTTGTTGTCATTAATCTGCATTTTTCGGAACTTTGTCGGAGTTTGTCAGTCGATCCGCATCATAAAAAGGCATGTGGATGAGAAAGAGAATGTCAGAATTGATTCAGAACGCTGAACAATTGGGTTCTTTTCTACAATGCTATAAAACTGTGGTGCATGTGTTTAACTGTTGCGACTTCCGTCACGCATCTCAAATTAAAATTAAACGAGGACTCGTGTTATAACATAAATGTGCGTGATTGTTTTGTTTAAGTGTACATGTGATACGTTGTAGGAATGTGACTCTATTTACTATAGTCCTTGGCTGTGGGCGATGAGGAGAGAAAAATGCTACTTTAGCGGGGGGACGATGTGTTCCATCAACCAGCAGTATTTCAAGTTTATTAGGTTTTTTTTCACATTTTTTGATCAAAAAACGATTAAACTGCCATTAACTTAAGTGTCTGTAGTCAGATTTGTTTGATTGAAGGAGAAATAGATGCACTATATTGATCATATGGAACCCCCCCTCCAAGCTCGTTTATCTTCTGCAAAAAATCTGAGATGATGTAAGTGTGTAGAACGTAATACGTTGATGTTTTGAGCTTTCTCATATATGGTTTAGACGGGGAAAATACTGTCCGGTTATTTATTTCTGGTACTTTCTGGATTCAATATTTCATAGTGTTTCTATGGTGTTCTCTTGGAATACAGAACAATACACATGTTTGATATGCGGTTCATGTTCTCCTAACTATTCTGGACAATGTAAGATCATATTTAAATATAAACTCATAAAAACGTAAGTCCTAGATTATAATATACCATTACTTATTGACTTAGGTAGGGTTCTTTTGTATACCATCTGCTCTCGGTGAGATAGCTGTTTGATTTTGGAGTTTTAAGTAGCTGTTTGTGGTACAAGACGAGTTATCTTTCGTAGGTTATTAACAGAATAAAAAAATACAACTATCAATCTCGGAAAATAGATCTATTGAGAAAACAATGTATATTATACGAAACATTCTGAGGATATTTTTCCTGAACTTAATAGTTTTTGGGTATTATTTAAATGCGTTTGTGATCACAGCCTCAATATCAATTCACTTCTGTTTGAAACAAACAGTTGCAACATGCCCCTATCGGTGCTCTTTTTTTTTCTATGAATTTTGCAAAAAAAGTCCTTCCCGGGTATCTCTCTTTAACTTTCCGATATATCGATATTGTGCGGTCGTTAAATAACAAAAATAGTTCAACCCGATCAAGAGTTTCAACCCTCCTGAACTTGAAATCAAAGACACAACAAACGTTGTCCTTTTTTGCAATCGTTACTTACATTTTCAAAATTGTAAACCAGAGAACTACTTAGGTGTAACGGTTTTGATGTTCCTATTATGATCTTTCTCTTCTTTAACACCACTGCTTCCTTCTGTGATATATATCGACTGTTAAAGGACAAGCTTACATCACCAGGCTAATACTAGTAACAATTTTTATCATATGAAGTTCTATAATTTCGTTTTGTCTATTTGTGTGGATTGTTGATTTGTTGTCACTGTCACGGTTTTCGCTTGGATGGATTTGACTATGGTTATCATTGCAGGTGTCGTCCACAAATCAAAAGATGATTTATGTTCTGGAAGACCAGGCTTATTGTCTTTCTGCGTTTGAACATATATATATATGTGTAAATATGACATTCGTACATGTGTTGCCCTAGTTTTAACTACTTTGAATTAGAGTGAATATATTTTGTACACATCTGTATTCCCTCTTGTTGAAACCAAAGAATGTCCCTTTTTGACGACAGTGACAGTAGGAACTGAGGCGCATACCGTTTCTTGTATTTATAGGAGACAGTTACAGTGACACTCTGAATTGATCAAATTCTGATGACGTCCGGTTTGAACTTCCAAAGTTTAAACTGCACTCGATTTATATCGATTATACTTAGGTAAACACATTGTGCACAGATTAGGTAACTACTATATTATACCGAGGTGTACCCTACTGTATGTAGTAATACAAGTTATTGTGTGTTGGACAGCCAGCACGTTCGAACAGACATTTAGGCTGTTGAGAAAATTTACAGTTTGCTTTTCACATTCTGCAGGTAATATGCATGAGGGAATATTTGCTTTTTGTTTTGTTTTGTTTTGTTTGTTTTTGTTTTGTTGTCAAAACAAGCAGCAAACTGCTGCACTTTTAAGTTAACGGGTGATGAGATTGAGATAAATACTACGGAGAACGATATGAGAGTGGATTTTGATAGCAAATTGATGTTTACAATTTAGTACAAAAGTATCCTCAACTACGTTATCAAAATAGCTGATTGAACATCTAGACAAAATACTGTTCGTGCTAACCTGTTACAATGTGATGTCAAGGTTTTGGGGGGTCTATGTGTGGGAGGAAAACCGGAGTACCCGGAGAAAACCCGCGTGATCGGGCAGGTGACCCCAACCTTTTCACGTCCGATCGGTGAATCGAACCCCGGCCGCCTTGGTGAAAGGCAAGTGCGCTATCCACTGCACCATATTACCTTTGGTGAGCCACAAAGAGCAGAAATCCTATATAAGAATTTTTTATCCAGAACGATTCTGATAGTTGTCTAAATGACGTTGCACAAACAAAATATTATAGAAGTCAAGATAAAATAGGACAGAAAATGCATAATCGGTATCTCGATTATGGAGCTACATGTATCATGTCTATTGCGTTAATAAAGACTCTCATTTAGAATAAGTACCGTTTACCCTGCATTTTACTACTACGAGTTTCTATCTATTTTTACCTTCCCTCAGAGGACTTCAACCGGTCTTTAATTTATCCCTACTATATGTATTCAGTATTCCTATTTTAGGAAAACATAATGGCTATAGACTATACTGAATGAGTTCGTAACAGCATTAAACACCAGTGTAAAACTGTATTGTGTGGTGTATTGCCTGTCGACTCATACACACTGCATGTAGCTCATTCTTTGTTAAACGATAATAAAATGGATTTTAAAAGGAAAGCACATAAAATAGGCAAACAAATGTCGGCTTATCAAAAGACGTATTTTGATGGGAATATCGAAGATGTTTGTGTACTCATTGTGGATTTAAAATATTTTTCAATCACAAAACAACCGCCCTAAATATTCCCTAATGAGATAAAGATTAGTTCTGAATGCATCATACTTTGTAAATCAACAATTAAACATAAATCGCAATGTTTGTTAAGAGCAAATATTTAGCATGATCCTCTGTTCCGTAAGCAGAGAGTACCGATCTGTAATGGATTCAGTCGCAATCACCTACACGCATTTGGATTCGTTTCAGTCGCCATATGTAGAGGAGTACACGATACAACTTAAGATCATAGGAGTGTATTGCTAAACGAAAGTAGGAAGTACATCCCTAGTTGAAAACACAATGCAGGGAGACAGTATCACAATTTCTGCATATTCTAATGTTTAATATTAAACTGATGAATATTGTATGTTTATTATTGACAGAACAGCGTGTTCTTTCAATATTAAAGTATTTCAAAGCAATCCAGGCATTAATTCAGTTGTTTTTTAATTAATGAGTCACATGCGTCCGTTGTTCTGTACTTCAGGAAACCGGCTACCTATTTTACTACTGTGAAGTTTTTCAGGAACGATAACTCTTACATGCAATTACTATGTGTATACGCTTTTATTATAAAATGTCAATTTTTAATCGTTTATAGATAATTAGTTTTACACAATTTCAGCATTTTTGAAATTGATATACATTAATGCAATACTAATCTATGTCAGTATCATTTTGATTGACATTATTTTGCAAAACATTGCGTGTTTCATTTTTTTTTCAAAATTCCCTCATTTTTACATAGATTTCCATATAACATTNCCTCATTTTTACATAGATTTCCATTTAAAATTCTTACAATTCTGACAATCTATATTTTTTTTTTGTGGCAGAAAATTTTCTTTACTTCAAAGCAATATAACTACAAAATTCTACTGAGAAATGGCGACACAATCCTATTACCTTAATGTGTGCTCTGCATATTGAGTTTGTCTCTATCACTGTAAAGATGAAGAAAAGAAAAGGTATCAATCGAAATGTCTTTGCAATTGCTAAATCTGCCATATGTTGTACGCTTTATCCTTGATTAGCAGACAAAACAACTTATGGTTATATTTTCCATAGAGCTGTCCAGTTAGTTCAATCGTTTGGAGTAAATTACGTCTAATTATATATTTGTGTGCTTAATTCTCGGAAAAGATGATCCAATGAAAATGCATATATACAAAAACTGTATAGAGGAACGAACAATTAATTGATGCTGCTTCTCAATGAAATTGATACCGTGTGTAATCGATTGACATATATCTTTCTTTAAGACAGGGACATCAAATACTTAGTCATCGTGTGGCATTTTGCCATCTTTGGTAGATACCAGTCTGACGGTATACACAGGTTATTGTCCCGTAAGCTTTTTTAACCACAAAGATATTTTAATATTGTGCAACGATCTAATGTAAGCGTTCACAACGTACATATATTTCTCTGTCCGAATCACGATAATAAAAGGAACAAAACAGCCTGCATATGATCAATCAAACCACCAGTAAACCCGGTATTTGCATGTAATAAATGTATAAAGGTGAATGAAACCAATCGAAATTTTGTCCATTATGATTCACGCCGGCATTGAAAAGATCTTTTTCATTTACACAAAAACTTGAAATACTATATTGAGTATGTATACGTCACAAGGTACTTTACATTACACAAGCCCTAATGACATCCGTTATATCTCCTTACTCTACTTTCTTACAAATGATTTAATTACATGGGTCCGGCATGTGACTTTATATGATACAAAAAAGGGCTGTAGCTACCAATCATTACGTCATATCTCCCTGGATTCACATTTAGAGTGGTAAAGTTGTTGTTTGACTCGTCTACAATGTACATACGGGACACATGTGAGGCCAACGGTGTGTTCTTTTGAACAGGTACGTACAATTTATATTGGGTTTTAAAATATTTGTGCAGTGTTTATAATCGTGAATCTATAATGTATGTGCGTGCAGCTTGTTACAAACACGTTACCGGGTGACAACCGACCCGGAAGATGTAAACATGTACTAGGGAAGCCGTTGTCAGTAATTTATTGACATCGTTTACACACTGCAAGATAAAACCATTCATTATTTATCGAACCTTTCGATTTGTTTAAACAAAATGATTACTGGATATTATATTTTTATGATGACATTTTTAAGTGAAATGCTGTATATTATATAAATTTCTATGTTGTGGTCTAATAATCTAACTATGCAAAACAGAGCGAGTTGTAGCGTAGTGTCGCAAATTCTCATGTTCAATGATCATTGGATCATTATAAAGACTTTACCTTTTTAATGATTCTTAGGAAGGGGACGACAGGGAAGGGCATGTTTTGCTTCAATTAAGCCGATATAATGGGCTGCACATCTAGTGTAAGTATTGTATGTGTTTGTCACGTTTACCACGTGTGAGAGGGTACATGTATGTGTTTGTCACGTTTACCACGTGTGAGAGGATACATGTATGTGTTTGTCACGTTTACCACGTGTGAGAGGGTACATGTATGTGTTTGTCACGTTTACCACGTGTGAGAGGATACATGTATGTGTTTGTCACGTTTACCACGTGTGAGAGGGTACATGTATGTGTTTGTCACGTTTACCACGTGTGAGAGGATACATGTATGTGTTTGTCACGTTTACCACGTGTGAGAGGGTACATGTATGTGTTTGTCACGTTTACCACGTGTGAGAGGATACATGTATGTGTTTGTCACGTTTACCACGTGTGAGAGGGTACATGTATGTGTTTGTCACGTTTACCACGTGTGAGAGGATACATGTATGTGTTTGTCACGTTTACCACGTGTGAGAGGGTACATGTATGTGTTTGTCACGTTTACCACGTGTGAGAGGATACATGTATGTGTTTGTCACGTTTACCACGTGTGAGAGGGTACATGTATGTGTTTGTCACGTTTACCACGTGTGAGAGGATACATGTATGTGTTTGTCACGTTTACCACGTGTGAGAGGGTACATGTATGTGTTTGTCACGTTTACCACGTGTGAGAGGATACATGTATGTGTTTGTCACGTTTACCACGTGTGAGAGGGTACATGTATGTGTTTGTCACGTTTACCACGTGTGAGAGGATACATGTATGTGTCCCTAATCGAGGTCCAGCTCGAAAATTAAAGGAATAGAGAGAGGAAAAAAGTTGGCGAGATTTTAGATATGGAGTGGGTGGAAGGGAGTAAGACATGAATAATTGCTTACATAATAGTTACAGAGATATAATGTTAAAGATATGTATACATGTAGCAAAACGTGTAAAAACAAAGTTTACATTAGCCCGACATAATTTCGAGGTTGTCCATGTAGACACTGTGGTTTGAACTAATTATAAAAAGAGCCAAGCATTCAGTCTGGACTGCTTGAGTGATTGATCTCACAGCAACCTCAGCATTAAAGGGGAGGTAACTCGCGGAATACGTTCACAAATTAGTTTATACGACTCACTTCCCATGGTCATGCTGATTTTTACAAATATCAATATTTTCTAATTATTTGGTATTTGTTCCTAGACCTATCCGGCTGGTACAAAACAGAAGAAAATACGACAGATACACGTGAACATGGTGAACAAATTGATGGACATCATCAGTCCGAATTTCCCAACGACCTGGACCCTCCTGCTGAACGCTTTGTCTCCGTACCTAGGCAATGAACAACTACACGGCCAGAGTGTCACAGACATCTCAAACATATGTAGGAGCTTGATGGCTAAGCAGATTATCTCCTATGGGTCGTATGATAAATTATATACTGCGGTAGACGACATCGATAGCAATGCAGCGGTGGTCATCTCTTCTGCAGTAGCATCAATCCAAGCCCTGATTTTGGAAGGTTTGTTAGATATACATATCAGTGTTATAGATTACCGTTGAATATCGCAATTTAATTCAATTTTTTTACTTAAAAGTCAGGATATGGAGGTTTAACACAAAATCGGAAGGACTTATTTATGAAAATCGATTCACTGAAATGATATATCAACACTTCTAGCTGACCTCTCATTACTTCTGTTCAAAATATAAATGCAGTACGTAATAACATCAAGTACACTGACTTTTAGATATAGTGTGGTGATGCTATACATTAGATTTAGCCATTAATAAAACACCACTAGATATGTAATGTACATTGAAATAAAGATATAGAATTGTGGTCAAAACTGATTTATATTCTTTGTGAAATGAACACACATAAAAACACATTTCATGATATTCAACAGGTATCATTCTCGTGGAAAATGTACTGATTTTAACATACATTTGTATGTAACACATGACAAAAAACATATGTTTGTTGAGAAAATAATGTTTCTATCTATCTTTTGCCGTTGACATGTTTGATTTTAGCTCTACCGATAGGTGTATTTATGCATCTACTCACTATAACAAGAAACGACACAAAACGGACTGTGAATGAAAAAGGCCATCCTCAAAGAGGGTGACTAACTATTTATTTATAAAATTTGAGGAAATTTTCCGAATTAGAAATATAGCATAAAATTACATACATATAATGTACATGAAACTTTTAACTCTTGAGTACATATCATGCCTAGCTGCCTTATATCTGTAGTCATTTCCCCTAAAGCTGATCAAAATATTTATTTTCTTTACCCTTTTAAGGTAAAACAGAGGGAGACGTTTCTAATGAAGTGATAGGAGACAGATCTGACAAAACCTTACCAATCAAAGGAGTGTACTGTACAAAGTTCTCGTCCAGGATCATTAGCGATACTAAAGAAGGGAGCTACATGGTCCAGCGTATGGTTACGTTACCGAATGATCGAGTGATTGTGTTGGATAGGGATAACACGAAACTAAAACTGTTTAGTTCTGAATACAAGTTCATGCACTCTGTTTGTGTGAGCGGGTTCCCTGTGGGATTGACGGTAGTGGATGAGTCTACGGTAGCCGTGTCGGATGAAAGCACAAACTGCATCGCACTGTATACAGTACATAACATTGTAAACAAGTCCGCGTCAATACAGTGTGGAAGGGAGGGCGGGTACCTCATGGACATTTCATATAGCAATCACCATTTTATTTGTCTAAAATTTAATTATGCTGACAAAGTAAGAACAATAGAACGTGTTAGCATGACCGGACAAAGAGAGACAGTGTTTAAGGGTCAGGAATGGTGTGACATAGGCTACCATGTTATTGCAAGGGAGAACAGGTTTTATACAACGGAGTGTGTGAGGGATACAGTTAGATGTATGACGTATGATGGGAAGGTATTGTGGAAGAGGAAGACACCTTTTGGACCGATGGGGATAACCGTTGTGAGAGGGACACTGTGCGTCGTGGCGTTAACGAAGGGTGTGGTATGTCAGCTATCTCTAGACGGTGAGAGGTACGATCACCAAGTAATACAAGGCGTAACTAAACCTTACATCTACTGCATCTGTTACCAAAGTGTGAGAAAGAGACTCTTGGTGTCAAGTAGTATCCCTGGCGAACCAATCAAAGTGTATACGATCAGCTGATACCTGTTCCCATTGCTATGTATACGCAGGGACAAGGACATTTGCTACAGTTGACATGATTGGACCTAAATCTTATTTTCCCAACGACAGTTACATTTTTTGCATCCACCAAAAATGTGAATTTTGATGCAAAAAAGTTACGTGGGATTGATTTTCGACCTTTTTCATGCTTTGCGTATGTATGTACGACCAATGGTTGTGGCATTTTTACCGAGATTTGATCAAAACCCCTAAGATGTTTAAATTTTGAGAACATTTGGTCCAAACAATACATCTGTAACAAATTTGCTAGTTCCTGCGGGTGTCACCGACATTTTTTGTGTTGTTACCTGCAAGGTTTTCCGTTCGATGGTTGTTGCCGCCTTGTGATACATGTATGATATTTTAATGACGGCATGTTCTTACCGAGGCTGTTATTGTCAAGCCTTCAATATGAAGAAGTGTTGTAAGCTCGTGTAGCAACTAGTTTTGTTGAACTGATACCTCATTAAATGTTGTTTCTATATTTGTACACAATTTTATCTTTTAATGGGCATTTTTGGCTATCATTTGTACAGATACAAAGTATTTCAGTGTTTTTGTTCAGCTTGCATAGGGGTGAAATATAAACAGTATCATTAGAAATCAGTTTTACATGTACATGGTTTCAAAAAATCATACTTTTACAGATTATGTCGACTTTTTACACTTTAAAGTCATAATTATGAGCTCGTCTTGATGATTTTCTGCTGCATTCATTTATAAGTGTACTTGTTTACAAAATAATTTAACTTCTAACGATTATTATATTTCAAATCATAACTATGATCTCAGTCAGTTGATGTGTGGTTTTATTTATATTGTATCAAGTCTTCAAACAGATATTCACTGTTATTGATGTTTTCATGTAAAATCTGCTGATATATGATCTACAAGGTAAAAGTGACGATATACATTTATTTAGTGATTATATAAGCAAATTCCGCTTTAAATTAAAAAGCAATAAAAACAGTAGCTTTGCTTTTGCATATGTTTAAAATATATTCAACTAGATATATAGATGTTATTAACTAATAAAAAAGAATCAGTTACTTATAGCATTGCATGTTTACCGCAATTAATTCAACATTATATGCCAGGAAAGGTACTTACTACTCCAGCTAGAATGCCCTCGTCTCTGTAGCAAAAGATTTTCTCTATGTCTGCAATACTAAATACATGTATATGTTCAGAGTTAGAAATAACTTCATATAGAAGTAACTACATTGTCACCTTCCAAAATATACACTCCAGCAAACATGTACTGTATATACTCACCAACAAATAGGAACCCGTGATGAACATATCTGGGAAGAACAAATATAAAATGTTGTTGATCAATCCTTATCAGAAACAACGACACGTATTAACCATGCTATTGGAACGACACGTATTAACCATGCTATTGGAACGACCCGTATTAACCATACTATTGGAACGACACGTATCAACCATGCTATTGGAACGACACGCATTAACCATGCTATTGGAACGACCCGTATTAACCATGCTATTGGAACGACCCGTATTAACCATGCTATTGGAACGACTCGTATTAACCATGCAATTGGAACGACACGTATTGATCATGCGATTGGAACGACACGGACTAACCATGCTATTGGAACGACGCGTACTAACCAGGCTATTGGAATGACACGTATTAACCATGCTATTGCAACGACACGTATTAACCATGCTATTGAAACAACACGTATTAACCATGCGATTGGAACAACACGTATTAACCATGCAATTGGAACGACACGTATTGATCATGCGATTGGAACGACACGTACTAACCATGCTATTGGAACGACGCGTACTAACCATGCTATTGGAATGACACGTATTAACCATACTATTGGAACGACACGTATTAACCATGCTATTGAAACGACACGTATTAACCATGCGATTGGAACGACACGTACTAACCATGCTTTTCGAATGACACGTATTAACCATGCGATTGGAACGACACGTATTAACCATGCTATTGGAACGACACGTATTAACCATACTATTGGAACGACACGTATTAACCATGCTATTGGAACGACGCGTACTAACCATGCTATTGGAATGACACGTATTAACCATGCGATTGGAACGACACGTATTAACCATGCGATTGGAACGACACGTACTAACCATGCGATTGGAAGGACACGGACTAACCATGCTATTGGAACGACACGGATTAACCATACTATTGGAACGACACGGATTAACCATGCTATTGGAACGACGCGTATTAACCATGCGATTGGAACGACACGTAATAACCATGCTATTGGAACGACGCATACTAACCATGCTATTGGAATGACACGTATTAACCATGCGATTGGAGCGACACGTATTAACCATGCTATTGGAACGACACGTATTAACCATGCCATTGGAACCATATCTTAGCCCCCATTTATCATTAAGAAATGTAATACATCTGTATATGGGATATTTATAAAACACTCAGACGTCATCAACTAGCGTTACCGATTTTTGCAAATGTTGGTACCGAAAATGGATCATGGCATGCTTTTTGAAATATCTTGTGCTTCAATAGCGCATACTCCTAACACGCGCTATTTTTTTACAGTGTTAACAAATACTAAATCTTTAGATAAAAAATAAACGTAACGGAACCTGCAGCTAATACGCACTGTATCAATTAATTTGTGAGAGTATCTCAGCAGTATAACACCGTCATTTGTACTGTATATGGTGTGAGTGAAAAGAAACATATCACACAAAGAACATAAGACCTTACTCGAGGGACTTTATGATTTCAGACTTTGAGGCGTTAAAGATAGTCAAAAGTTCTTTACTGGGAAATATAACTACATTTTGTATCAAGTCAGGAAGGGAGTCTTGGATCGACATTTGTTTCGTCTGGATACATATTCACAATTTCAAGGACACTTTCTCATCGTTCTGTATTTAGCCACAACATATCATGGGATATGTATGGTACAATGTAGCGTCATGTTACCATACAAATGTAATCATCACCGCAGTGTCAAACAATGGCATTTAAAAAAAGTCAGTATACTTAACTGTGTACGTCTAATCTCGAATGCATTTTAAATCAATAGATCATTGTTCCCTCATTCAGATAAGCCTGGAACTAATCTAATTCAATCTAAGGGTCTTACTGAAGTAATGCGAGTTATTCCTCTTGGATTGCATACAGAATACGTTTCCCTACGAGATAGTTAAAAATAAGTAAAAATGGGTGAAGCCATTCACCGAACTTCCCCTGACGCTACATAACCCTTTTTAACGTTACACAACGATAAAGATGATATCAAAGTAAAACGCACGCTATGTTTAAACATGACATCCTTAACAATGAACGTTACATGCACACACATGTGACTGTACCTTTAAACTTCGTACAGGTTAATAGAAACATGTACACTGTGCAAATAAGCACTTACACAGAAACAAACAGCTGTTTCGTCCTTTTAGGGCTCATCAATGACGCTAGGGACCAAACACCAAACAGAGGGACATGAGCGTTACAACATTTCTCCTTGACGGACTCATCAGTGATGCTAGGGACCAAACATTCGGAGAAACAGAGGGACATGAGCGTTACAACATTTCTCCTTGACGGACTCATCGGTGATGCTAGGGGCCGATAACTATTCTAATTAATTGACCATAATGTCAAAAGGATCAATTAATTATGATAATGAATGTTTTAATTTTTGACCTGGTTTGCAACTCTTATCAGAACGTTAGTATATGTTAGAATATCCACTTCACGTTTATACTGTACATATACATTAATGTACTCCAGTTTTGAAATATACATGTAAAACAACTTTTTTCTTTCTTTATATAATGCCCCCGATCGGCGAATACTTTATGATATGACACAACTTTGTTGTACAAGTAAAAAAGGTAAACGTAGAAAATCGTCAATACACTTTTGCTTTTGTATTAAAAGAAGAAACAAGCATGAGCAGTATCAATAGTCCGTCACTGAAAAAACTCTAGGAAAGCAGTATACACGTACTTATTTTCAGACTATGGTGATGCAACTAATGGGCCAAATCAAATTACCATAACAATAGTGATACCAGGAGCACACTTAATTAGTTGTGGATGTCGCGGAAAATATAAAAAAGAACAAAAGCAAGAATGTTCAATACTAGCGTAAAACTAGTAGTCGTGTATGGTTCAGAGGCTGGGTGCCGTAACGACAAAGACAGAAAGAAAGATTCAGTCAATTAGCAACATGAAAAAAAATATTGAAAATATGATGACTAAACAAAATCACAGTGAACATCTATGGCAAAAGTAGACCAATTACAACTATGCGATCTGATCCAAAATGGAAAATGAAATTGGTTGATATCGTTAGAATAACCAGAGTGCATACAAATAAAAAAAGAAGTCAATAACATTTCGCCCACAACCACTATCGGTTTCCTCACTCATGACTCATTGGATAAACCTGCTAGGAGTTGGTAAACATTTTTGGTTACTCACCAGTGGATAACACCCTGGGCGTGATTTCATTGGTCAATCTTTAATTTATGACGTCACGTTAACTGCTTTTCGACGTCATTTTCCACTGTGACGTCATGCTTCATGGCAATTATTTCCCCCATCGGAAACACACGGTGTATTTTCGTGAGGGAAAATGTGGATTTTCATATAAAATACGAATGTTATGAGAGAAACAGGTTTCCAAACTCGTGATGATTAGTTAACACGTTTATCTAACTCGCGTTAGTTAATTTTCAAATTGTAAATGACACTCGGTCAACCTCAGTTCTTTATACAATTTTAAGATTAACTAACTCGAGTTAAATAAACATGACAACCAGCCATCACTCGTTGTGGAACATCTATGTAACTAATGGGGGGAGTGGTATGAAAAATTAACATCAGCATTCATATATGAAGTGCGTCATTATTTTGTAATACATGTAATTTATTTAAGTCGAATTCAATTTCGGTAATAACCAACACATTGCTTTGTATTGTAGTGGAATGATTAACGATGGCCGCTTTGGCAGTGTCAGAGACAATGTCACTTCCCGTTATCATTGCGTATAGGAAGGATAGGACATAGCTTATATGCTATGAAACATGCAAATATTCAAGGAAAGGAAAGAAAGAAATCAATGTCAACCTAGCTACAGACTGGTCGGTAATCACCTTTCTTTTGGTGCCATGGACGTCTGAACGTGCTTTTGACATTTCACCCCTTAACTGACCGCCCAGAAATAATGGAAGGGTAATACAAGCCCGTCATGTGTTCGTGAGACACAGTTTCGACGTTCCGGCGCATGTGAGTATGATGGCGCTCAGCGGAAAGAGCACGCGCTTGTTTGTGTATGGGAGTACGCGTCATCAATATAGTGTGACGAATGCTGCGCCACTCAGCTTTTCGTCTGAGTCGTATTTGTCAGTGTAGTCACAGACTACTCTCCAACAACTAGTGATCTCTTCTTTGTTGTTTCCTCCAGACAGTCTCCGGTTAATAGGTCATGTCCTTTATCTGGTACTAGCACCAGTTTTGATAAATAACTCAAGGCAGCAATAAATTTCAATAGATATAATTCTAATATTCAAATAAGTATTTATGTTTGTACAGGTGATTTCACTCTTTCTCTATGAATAATTTCAGTCTCCACTCTATGAACTATGTATTATCATGTAATAACAACTTTGTTTAACAATAACGAAACCAATATATTCAATAACAAGTGGTGTTACAAATTTAAGATAATAACAATTATAAACAATGAATAACTTAGGTATTTAATATAATAATTACTATGAGAATCTTAAATTCAAAGTATTTGGTAATCTAGTTGGAAATGTTAATAGAAAACAATGAGCAATAAGCAGTGACTTAATTAGTAACGATTATTAATGATAATTAATAGAGATTTATAGGTAATGATATGAGTAATCAGTCCCTATGACTATAGCTGATGACTAAATAATAATAGAGATTTACAG